TAGCCGTCCGAGTGTCGCTGCCCGCCAGAGCTTCGGCCTCTCCCGCGTCCTCGTCCGTGTCCACCGCGACCGCCACCACCACGGACAGGGTAGCCTCGGTTTCCTGCCGGTTCTGCCGCGCCGCTGGTTCAGCCATGCGGCTGCTGCTGCTGGTTCGGACCCGGCTGGCCGCCGGTCCGGCCGGTGACGAGGGCTGTCCCAGTCTCAATCGAGTGGGAGCGTTGACGTTCAAGGAGCAATAACGCCGATCGGACTTGGAGAAAAGTGGGTTGGGGCTGTTGAAATTGCATCCAAGATGTTTGGGCTTAGAGATCATCCGGTAAACCCCGTAAAAGTTGGAGCACCAGCTGTGATTCGGAGACCGGGGCGTCGACGTCATCTAGCCAATCAGCCATGTTCCGGAGAGTTTGACAATATGTGGCCATGGACATAGTTCCTTTGACCGTAGTGCGGAATTGGTGTTCCAATTGCATAGCTCGAGCCGGTTTGTTGTCGTGGAAGAGAGCATGAATCATGTGCCAAAGTTCGGAGGCCGTTGAAGTGGAGGAGATGACCAAGTCGGAGACCTCATCGGTCACCGTGGAGAGAATCCAACCTTGAAGCACGGCATCAAGTTGAAACCATTCGTCGTCGTCGGCGGAAGAAGGGATCTTAGAGCCGGAGAGAAACCCGTGGAGATTAAACCGTCGAACAAGGAGCAAGAAAAGACGGCTCCATTTTTTGTAATTAGGTTGAGAAAAACTCAACTGTATGGGGACGTGAAGCTTGACGTTAGATATAGCCGTGAACGCCAAGTGGGGAGAATTTGAGGAGGTGGTGGAGGGAGATTTGTCCGTCGTCTTGTCGGAGTCCATGAGGAGAGAGAGAGAGAGAGAGACGACGGAGGAGGAGGGTGGGGCTGCTGCGGTAGTAAGGCCGAGAGAGGGAGAGAGCAGCGCCAAGGGAGAGAGCCGGGAGAGAATTAGGGTTTGGGAATTAGGATTTTTGACTCTGATACCATGAAGAATGAATATTTTCAATAATTAAACGTGTAGGAGTACAACCGTATATATAGACAGGACGAGACTCCTAATACGAGTAGGAAACCTATACAAAAGGTAACTACCAACAATACAATGATACAATAATAAATACATTAAATGTACTTAACATAAATATATATGGTAAATATATTTAACAATTATTTCATTAAATTACAAGGAGTATTTACATTTTTTTACATATACAAGCCAGGTAAAAAGCATAACAACAACAAAAGGACAATTACAAAGAGGCCGGTGATGGAGGATATTCTTTTCCCCTTAGTTAATTAATTCCCTACTTAATATGTATTCCACACTTGGTTATTTTAGTTAATAATTTAACAACAATATTATACAATACACACAATTAAACTAAAGGGTGATTATGGATGATTAGAGAGATCACTTTGCTTTCATCTGCTCAATCTCTCTTCTCAATCTACACTGCCTTCTTCGTGCCATTTTTCTCCACTCCACCAAACGGCGCAAAAATACCATTACCTAGAAATTAAAATTTAAAAAAATAAATTATATTTTTAAATAAATATAGATTTATTTATTAGATACTTATTATTATTCAAAAGTCATTCCTTGAAATGATTAAAATAAAACTAAAATAGGATACGGTATATGTAATTACCTCGGATGGATCCTGCAAGGAGTAAGAGGCATGGGTGTCTTTTGGAGTTTGGGTAACAAGAATACCAGAACCCTGTCCTCTCTCTCTTAACACCTAATCATCATCATCATTATATGATTCATTAATTATATCAAGTCATAATAATATTAGTAATAATAATAATAATAATAATAATAATAATAATAATAATAATAATAATAATAATAATAATAATTTTTAATTATGGTTATATACCTTGAAGGCGTCTTCGTCAGTTCTATCATCGCCAATATAGACGGGGAAGACGTCGTTGGAGTTGGCATATCCTGTTTAATTAATTAATTTAATTAAGAAAGAATGGATGTTAGTATGTGAATAAATGTGATTCCATATTGTAATAATAATTAGGATATATGGGTATGTATAAAACGTGATTATATTAAAGGGTAAGCGTACGTCCGTACCAAGAGATTGAAGCAAGAACTCGAGAGCTTTGCCTTTGTCCCACTTAATAATTGGTCGGATCTCAAGCACTTTTCTCCCTTGTGATATCCGAAGCTTTGGATATTGTTTCACAACTGAGCCTACTTCTTTTGCTAACTCACCCCATTCCTGTGTGTGTGTGCAATTTAACGTACTTAAAATAAATTCAAAACAAATTTGACGCTACGTAATTCATATTCTCTATGTCTTATTTTTGGTTTGGGTACCTTCTCTTCAACGCAACGGAAGTGTACTGATGCACAAAATTTATTGTTCTCCACGGTCGCACCTGGAAATGATTTAATTTTCTCCGACAAAATCTTGTGCACCTAAAAATTAGGTATTATATTTAAGTCCCAACTAAATGAACGAAAGAATATTACTCATAATAATTGCAAAATTATTATTGTAATAACCAGAGATAAGTCCCCCGCCCCCCAAAAAAATACTCAAAGTTAAGTTGTGTAAATGACCATACTAACCTCGTCGATCATGGGTAGAAATTCACTAGCTGGTTGAAAAAGAACACCGGTCTGTTCTCCCTTTGAACCACATGCACGAAAAGTAATAATATAAGCACCATTTTTTTTATTTATTAGAGTATGATTTTACTCTATTTGGGCATATAAGAAAGGTGACAAAATGGGATCGTACTTTGGCGTATTTGGAACCTTTGGAAGGCCCTTTTATGTCCATGCCATGGCTCCCCGCATAGTACAACTCAGCTAAACGTACAAAGTTATAGACCTACAAGAATTATTGTCACCCACAAGTTATTATTATTACCACTGTAATTATTTGTCTCACAACCGTCCACACATGGATATAATATTAAATGACTAATTTATGAAAATAAATTTATATTAATAAAAAGTGAATAAAATTTAATCCATAATCTGGAAGCAAAAAAATCATTTATTATTTAAGTGTGAATCCGTACCTTGGCTCTGCTCCTTCCGCTCACAATGGCTGTAGGGAAATATGTGGCAAGCTTCCTCACGGTTGCTCTCATCTGATATGAACCAAAAGTCATTATTATTCCCAGTGGTGGAAATGTTTGTCAACTTTTTTAATTTAAAGCTCCTTTAGTTTGTCTTTTCTTTAAAATATAATCGGTTACGTAACTGGGTCTGAATATAACAATCTTTTAACGGTTTACGATCAGCACTTTTATGTTGTGATTAAGTTGGTAATTGTCATTGAAAAAAAATGCTTTTTAGGAGTTTAACTAAGGTTTATATGTATGGTACTAACGGAGTTGGACATAAAAGCACGATCTGGGTCGTCGACAATGGGGGAGAGGGTGCCGTCGTAGTCTAGAAACATCACTATTTTCTTCCCTTCCGAAGCCCTGATTATCTCGTCCAACTTCTCTAGAGCTGATGGAAGCTGCAAATAAAAAAACCCAAAACACAAAAAACATGCACTATTTAAATTCTTCCCATGCATTATATTTCTCATTTTATGTTATGATTAAAGTTCAAAAATTTGACCCAAGCTTCTTATAGACATTGACATATATAATTTCTACGCAAAAGTGGCGTGTCAAAAATAACATCGGTTTCCTAACGAGTTATAACTACTGAGTGAACTCGCTGACCTTCCAGGCGAGTTGATTGTCTTTCGAGAGGGAAGACTTCCGAGTGGGAGAGCAAGCTCTCATTGACTCGACCCAGGAGTTCATTGTGGCGGCGCCGCCGGCTCTGTGGCGGAGTTCGCCGGAAATGTCTAAGCTAACGCACCCACCTACGCCGGCAACGGCCTCAGCTACGGATTCGTCGGAAACCGCCGCAAAGACCGTCACGGCGCCAGATTCTGGGTGGGAGACTATAACATTTTTCAGAGTCATTTTCTTAGCTCGCAGAAGAGCCAGAAAATAGGGTTTTTTTTTTCTTGAAAGAAATATTTGACGCAAAAGGAGGAAGAAATTAAAGCAGGGGAAAAACAGAGCAATGTGTCTGATGGGGAGGACGAAGAAGGAAACGGTTAGGCTGGATTTATAGTAGGGGAGAGAGCACTAAACGACAGACACATGGGTGGGGTGTGGGGGAGGGGGGGGAGGGGCCCACCCACACTCTCGAGGGGGTTTCCCTGTGGTCCCCACCACTAGGACACCTCATAATTTGCGGTTGGAGTGCTGACTGGGAAAAGATTAGCCTTTTGGCTCCGCCGTCTTGGATCGCCGTCACCGTAAGAGCCGCTCTCTAGCTTCCACCTCCGCCACGTGGGACGACTTATCCGTCCACTGGCTACGTGCCATCATTTCTGGTACGCACCACCACCAACTTGCATATAAATGCTCCCTCAGATTCTTCAACTGAAAAACTTCCAACTATTGCATGCGCACATTATTGTTACTTCTATAATTTCTTCTCAACACAATTTTTTTTCACTTTCTATTTTTTTTCGTTCGAACTGTAAGTGTGTGTTTTGATTGGGAGAAATTTTTTCTAGGAAAATTTTAATATTATTTTCTTCCATTTAGTAATATTAGTAGAAAAAAAAAATTTTCAGAGAAAAATATTTTGCTCGAGAAAATGATTAAGAGATCATCCTAAATATTTTCTAGGAATATTTCATAATACTTTTTGATAATGTATATGGCCATGATTGCTACTGTAAATGCATTTTAATTCCTATTTTGGGAAAAAAATATCAAACTCCTATTTTGGTATATTTTCAAAATTTTATTCCTACTTTAGTCATTTTTTCCAAATATTTTTTTTAGAATTTGTTGGAATATTAGTATAACAATATTACTCATTTTTTTAAAATTTTACTCCTTATTTGTGTGAGTATGAATGAATGTCCCTCCCCCCTCAATTTCAACGTATTTGTATAGAGAGAAGGAGGTCAAATAAGATAACTAGCAGCTACTCAGCCGCAAATCTAGCACTAGTCAACATCTATACATGGAAACAACCTCTTGACCAGAAGCTCATCATTAATTTCATTAATGAGCGTCAATCCAGCCATCAATCATGTTACCCAGTCGTTGCGTCATGGGGAGAATCTTCACTCCGCAATTAACTCTCGGAAATGATGGGGGTTGGAGTAGTTGAGCCACACATGCTCATTCATCGTGTTATCCCCTCTAGTCCGTCGTCATTGTGATCCAGCCGGGCTCATTTGAAGAGTTGTCTTCTGGATAGCCAAAAATATGACCGGTCACTTACCAAAATGGGATAATATGACCGCTCACTTTCCAATGGTTCCACTCTCTTCACCAGCATTTTAAGTTAGTGACCCGTCATTTTTCGGTACTTGCTTTCTAAATCATATTTTCGAAATAAAAATATGAAACTCCTACTATGATATATTTTCTATATTTACTCCTATTTTTAAAACATGTATGGACAATTTTCTAAATGTTTGGTCAAACAAAGAAATGGATAAACTAGCTTAAAAATTAGCAGGTAATGCCTAATTATTTTTTTGGCTTATAAGCATCTAATAAGTCAGCTTATAAATTCTGAGAAACATGTCATTAGCTGATTTATAAATTAAAAATTGCTTATAAGTAGGTTTGACTAGCATATAAGTATAGAGAAATACTCCCTGTATATATGAAAGACTCCTAACACTACTAGAAATACTTAATATTAATGTCTAACAAAATTTTTCCCCACACACACCCCCCACCCCACCTCTTTCCATCCCATACTCCTTTCCCTCCTACCCCATCCCACCCCCACTTATGATACGGGTGCACCAGAGGATCGGAAAAACACGCGGGTCGAGATAACTCGTAGGGGACAACGGCGTCAGAACGACCACGGAGGACGGTGGTACCTCCCCGAAAATATCAAGACTATGTTTTGCAATTATATTTATTTTTTCCTTTATTTATTCTCTCCTTATTTTAATGTACTTTAGATTTTATTAGGCGGGCGGAATTAAAAGCTCCTTCAAGGGTTTTTTTTGTTCTTTCCCTTGGGGTTTTCCCTTTAATTATTCTTTTCTTTATTTTCCTTTCCTTTTGCTTTCCGTGCCTTCATCGCCGTACAAAACCCAAGGCGGTAAGGGTTTTGGCTGCGCCTACTCCGGCCTCCGCCGAACACCGCCTTAACAACTTCCCCGCCCCACCCCTACTACCCGTAAATCCCTACCTCGGCTCCACATAGACTTCCACCCCACCGTGCCACCCCCACTTCTCATCACCCTTCTAGCCTCCCCCGTACACACCCACCCCGCCCTGTCCTTCTAACTCGGGTTATAATTATTTTTTGTTTCTAATTGATTAAATCAACATTATTATTTTTGTCGATACAAACAATTTTTTTTCCCTCCGTTCTAGCTCTTTAAAACCTTTCACCCTAACTTCAAAGAAGTTTTAATGTAATTCTAAAATTGCTTTGACTTTCTAGTTTTAAATTTTAATTTTAAAATTTTTATTTTTCATTCTTAAGTTCAAAATTTAAAATTTAAAATATAAAATATAAATTTAAAATTTAAAATTTAAAATTATAAACTATAAATTATAATTTTTAAATTTTAATTAAATAGTATATTAAATACTTTAAATTTTAAATTCAAGTTCTAAATTTTAAATAAATTTGGAATTTGGAATTTGAAATTTCTAATTTCAAGTTTTTAATTTTAAAATTTTATATTTTAAATTTTAAATTTCAAATTTTAAATTTTAAATTTTAAATTTTAACTTTGAAATTTTAAATTCTTAATTTTAAATTTTAAATTTTAAATATTTAATTTTAAATTTTAAATTTTGAATTTTAAATTTTGAATTTTAAATTTTAGATTTTAAATTTTAAATTTTCAATTGTAAATTTTAACTTTTAATATTTAAGTTTTGAATTTTCATTTAAACTTTTTATTTGAATTATTGATTTTTTAATTTAAATTTTTTAACTCCTATTTAAGATCTTAGTTTTAAGTTAAAATTTAAGTTCTAAAATTTTACTTTTATTTTGTTCATTTTTAGTTTAATATTTTTTATTTTGAATATTTAGTTTTTTTCAGTTTATAATTTTAGTTTTAATTTTGTTATCATTTTTATTTTGAATTCTAAATTTTTATTTTTTTATTTTTTTATTTTAAATTTTTAATATTAAGTTTTCAGTTAAAGTTTTTAGTTTTAAATTTTATATTTTTAGTTTTAATTATTAATTTTCAAACCTTAAATTCTTTTAATTATTTTTTTTAGATTTTGTAATTTTATTTCATATTTTCAATTTTCAATTTCTAAATTTCTACCTTTTGATTGGTTTTTAATTTTTTAATTTTTTGTTTTAAAATTTAAGTTTTTTTATTTATATCTTAATTCTACTCCCTCCATTCTCAAGAAGAGTTCTTATTTTGACCAAGTGTAAAAATAAGTAAGTGTTAAATTGTAGTTGACTTCCAATTCTGCCCTTGATGTGATGGGTAAAAATAAGATGTGATAAATAGATTATTAGAGAAAAAGTATGATGTAATAAGTAGGGTATGAAAAAGTAAGGGTAAAAGTGGTTTTTTAATAGAAAGTGGAAGTGTTTTGTTGGAAATGAAAAAAATGAAAGAGGAAATGTTTTTGAGAACGGATGGAATATATTTTAAATCTTAAGTTTTAAATTTAAACTTTTTTTTTGTTTTTAATTTTTAGTTTTTACTCATTAGGTGATTTGTGAGGAGGAGGAGGAGGAGGGGGGAATGGAGGCAAAAGAGTTAAAGTGGAGGGTAGGAAATAGGAATGTTACAGTCTTACATAGCACCGTATGTGTTCCAAAATGATAGACCCATTTTTGAGTCATTTTTAGCTCATATCAAAACAACTTTGCCGTTAATGGAATTGTCAACCAGAATGGAATTTTTTACAACCAACAACCACCTTTGTATATGAAAGTGAATAATGGAGGGGATGGTGGAAATTAATACTCCCTCCGTCCCGGAGTATTCGTCCAGTTTTGACTTTTGAAACTGTTCATATAAGCACTTTGACTCATCAAATTCTCTCAATGTGTAAGCCTAAATATAGTCATGTGTGATCTTGTTTGATTTGTCTTAACATATAGATTATTAATATATAATTTTTATAATTTTTTAATATACAAATTACAAGATAAAATGGGTTAAAGAAATGTATTGGATGATGTGTAAAAATGAAAGTGGACAAATATCCTGGGATGAAGGTAGTAAATTTTATCAATAGAGTACCGTAAATGTTCCAAAATATTAGGATCATCAATTCATGGATTATTTTTGGCTGGGATCAAAACAATTTTGCCGTTAATGGAATTGTCAACAAGAATGGAATTTTGGACAACCAACCACCTTTGTGTATGAACGCGAATAATATTTAGCACAACTTGAGTGCTAGATTCTTGAATAAGCAGAACCGTCATGTTATGTCCCGATCGATTTTTTCACATGCTCTATTCGCTTTATGAGGAATTTATACAGTGGAGCATTTCACTTCGTCACCAGTGACATCCTAGGTAGTTGAAGATTTGAATAAAATTTACGTATATTAAAATAATTTATGCATTATTAAAGTCATTAACACTATGTTTGGCTCAAGGATTTTTGAGAGAAAAGAAAAGAAAATGGTTTTCTCTCAATTTCCTCACCAAAATGGAAGGAATTTGGTTTTCCCTCCACTTGATATATTTTGCATCCTCCTTTTCTTTTCCTTCCACTTTTCCTTTCTTTTCCCCTCTAACCAAACAAGAAAAATAGTTTTCCACTTCATTTTCTTTTCTTTTCTTTTTCAAATTCCTTGAACCAAACATAATGTAAAAGAAGGCAAATTGTGATACGAATATCTTACCGGATAGAGAAGAACTTCGAGCATTCTTCAAGCTCCAAGAAGATGGGGTAAAGAAAGATGGAAAATTTCGAGTGTTTCCGGGTTCCAAGAGAATAGAGAAGGAGATTAGGGTTTTGATACTCGTATTTCTTTTTTATTTCAGAATACGGGGAAAGATTACAATATATAGCTAGTAAGGCTACGCTAGTTGACCTAATGGGCTCGGGCCCATACTAAACCCTAAACAGGATTAACTATATAAAAATAAAGAATACTAATTAATAAATAATACTCCCTCCGTTCTCAAAAAGAGTTCCTAACTTGACTAAGTACTGTAAAAATAAGGAAGTGTTAAATTGTAGTTAAGTTCCAATTTTGCCCTTGATGTGATGGGTAAAAGTAAGATGTGATGGATAGATTATTAGAGAAAAAGTATGATGTGATAGATAAGGTATGAAAAAGTAAGGGTAAAAGTAGTTTTTTTAATAGAAAGTGAAAATGTTTTATTGGAAGTGGAAAAAATGAAAGAGGAAGTGTTTTTGAGAACAGAAAGAGTTTAACTAATCTATTTTCATATCATTCCCACCCCCTTAAAAACCACCTTGTCCTCAAGGTGGAGGCTCCCATTCATGCTTCTGGATTGGAGAGATAATGCTAAACCAAAGGAACAATCCACTCTTGGAATCTTCAACCATCTTGGCTCGTGCAGCAAAGTGATGGAAATATGAGACAAGACACGTAGCATATATGTATTTGCTCTTGGTGAAACCAGCAGGTGCTCTGTCTTGACCACATCGACAATGTCAAATAACTTAATGGTGTCATTAAATAAAATGAGTTTGTCCACTCGCTTATTATCTGCATTTGCCATCTTGACGATACTTGCTAGAACCTCGTACTCTGTAATAGTCACCCCAACATAGTCTTTTAGTGGTACATATAATTTGTGGGGTGTAGAATCTGATTTGTAAGAAGGCTCGTCACTTTGAATAGTAGCACCATCATTTTCATCAATAGCACCCCCATAATCGCCAACGATGCCAGACCCGCTATAATCATCCACTTTGTTTTGAGATTCCTTGCTTGATTCTTTTGACCCATCTATGTCCTCCACAATGGGGACGGGGATCGGAGTGTGGTGGCGACTTTCACCATGTAGAAAAATGCGTCTCTAGCCTTCTCCGATGTCTTCTCGAAACAAATATACTCGAAATCATGTAGCGGAGCAAATCGGATTTTGAACTTTTGAACAAAATCCTCCCAACCATCATCAATCAAGCCACCACCCATGCGCCAATTAAACCATACCAAGACAGAGCCCTCTAACATTGCACTGCAAGAAAACTGCTGATCTGCAACCGACAAATTTCGTTGCAGAATTTGAAATTCCGTGGCAGATTTTGATTCTGCGGCTGAACGGCTGAGGGGGGTTGAGGGCGGCTGACGGGGGTTGGGGGATAGGTTTGAACTGATTTTGATTTTGCGTAGTGAGACTGAGATCCGATTTAATTAAACCCCTGCGACGGAATGGATGTCGTCGCTGATTCCGTTGCAGAATTGCTACGGAATGATAAAACCGTCGCAGATTTCATGTGCAAAATTTGACCATCTTGGACGTCTTCGAATATGCGACAGCACCATATTTTCCATTGCAGATCCGCGACGAAAAACGTAATTCCGTCGCAGATAGTTTTCATTTTTCAATAATAATTCTTCCGTCGCAGATTCGTTGCAGATCTGCTACGGAAACATGTCCGTAGCAGATTTCCGTTGCAGATTAGACAAATTCTTGTAGTGTTGATGCCACACGGTGTAACGACAAACTTAATATTACGAGGGATTTTAAACGTGATTTCACCTATGGCATGTGCCGCGCACATACACTAGCGAATATCATACAAACATACATTCAAACATACAAACATCTATAATTAATAAAGCGTGACATGGTTGTGGCCTCCTAAAGAACTAACAATAAAGCCTTCACTTGATATCTCTATTTCTAGCTTCACCTTCTTTCTTTAAGAGTGCTTCAACCTTCAAGTTCAGCCCTTCTTGCTAATATCCTCTTCTTCTTGGCTCCTTCATCTTCCTTGCTTCTTCATGGACTTCTTTGTTTTTAATCGAGAGAATAGAATCCTTGCTTTGAAAGCAAGGGGTATGAGGTTTGAGAAGTGATTGACTGGCTTGTTATCAAAGAAATAGTAGTTTTTCTTCAATATTTCCTCAGTAACTTCCATTCTACCAAAATGAACCACAAATTGCCTAGGTTTGAGCATAGTAACGTCCAGAATATCTGCCTGTTCCCATATCCTTTTAGCGAAACCTTCAACCACCTCAATGGGAGGATTTGCACCTAGGATACACATCGGTATTGCAGTTTCCCAGTAAGTGGATGCTTCCACTGTATCATCCTTCGTCATCTTTGCAATTTTACAACCATTATGTTCAATAGCAGCAATAAAATGCACTTTACAATCCAGTTCCTCTTTATCACCCACTGCTTCAGCATAAGATTTAGGAGGTACCTGTAATCCCTCATCTGGCGGTTCTCGCGACGGCTCTTCCTCAACTGCTATCTGTCCGTCTTTCTCCATATCCCCTTTTTCTTCGTCTCTCAATGTCTCCTTTTTTCCCGAATCTTCTGATGCGGTACGAACTGGCGTGTTCATTTTGCTTGAGCTATTCGATATATTGAGTATTTGCAGATGGTGAATTATATTGTCTGGTTTCGTTTTCTTCCTCGGTCTCCCCCTTTGCCGTGACATGCTTAGAGAGAGAAACCTCCAATTTGATTACTCCCTTTGTCCCTAAAAGATTGTCACAATTTGATTTTTTTGGTCAAACTGTGACACTCTTTGCCTACGAATTAAATTTAGTTTAAAATAATTAAATATCATATAAAAAATTTATATTTCAAAATTATATTTTAAAATAAATTCAATTTTACTAATTTTACATTATAACAAAATATTTTTTTCTATAATTTACTGTCAAAAAGTGTCACAGTTTAATAAGAAAAGTCAAATCGTGAAAATTATTTAGGGAAGGAGGGGTAATAGACTATTAAATGCTTTTAGATACATTTGGAACATGTACCCACGTTTGGAATCCATGATTAGCATCACACTTACCACCTTAGTCTCCGCTAATTAAGAGTTTTTGAGAATAAATTAAATTAAAGATATGTCTTCATGTTTGTACTTTAGTAGTCAAGACTCGAGACTAGAGGCAGTTTGTGATGCTCCCTAGCTACGTAAACTACTAGTTATTGCATGCAGCTACAAAAAATTAATTAAAATTAATTACAATAAAAAAAATCTCAGAATAATCGTAATTAATTATTATCTGAGCAGGCCCGCCCAATGAGGAGTGCAAGAGGTGCTCTTGTACAGGGCCTCCAAAATGATGGGGCCCATTGTAATTAAATTAAAAGCCCATGAGTATATCTCAAGTCAATTAAGTTGTTTAAGACTCTTCCTTCTACCTTCTTTGTTCTTCAAGGCTCTTCGATATGTTCCTTCTCAAATCTTGTGTCAATTGTGTTTGATTTTTCATTTATAGGCTGCGTCTTTAATAATTTTTTATTTTCAATTCTTTAAGAACTAATCTGTTTTGTTTCTTCTGTTTTTTTCATCTTCAATTTGTTTTAAAATTGATCTACTTTTTTCATTCCTAAATTCAGTTTTAAGAACTTAATTCAGTTTTAAAAATCCAATTTTAAATTGATTTTTAATTATTAATGAATTATTTCTTATTTTGTTCCTTCAATTCTAAAAGTGATTCTACTTGCAAGTTAACTTTTTTTTGAACAAAAGCAAATTCTAAAGAAAAAGTTATTATTCAAACTACTTGCATTGCGAGATGTGCAATTCTTAGGTTTTATCGCTCCACTGATGAAAGGACTTGAAGTTTATTACTCTGAATATTATTTTTAATGGAATCACCAATATTGATACATTTGCATTGTCACAACTTTTATTTTAACTTAAAAAGTTTAGAGCCAAAAATACTAAATAGCACAGGGCCTTTTAAAATGATTGGGCGGGTCTGTATTTGAGGCACTAAATAAAAGTCCGTTTGCACTTTATAAAAAAAATAAACTCGGTGTAGTATTAACTACTCCGTATTAACTATTAATGAAAAATGGCATTAGAAATATGGATGGGTAGGGATTTTTTTTTCTCTCCAAAATTTAAAATCTTTTATTCAATGAACTGTCATTTTTCTCATTTTTTTAAAAATTACCAGCACGTCCTTATTTCCTCATATTTCGTCTACCAAATAAGACACTTAACTCCTAGCTTATTCTCAGTTTTTTACTTCCTCAGTCTTATAAAGTTTTTATTTTAATTTTTAGAAAATTTAAGGAAGAGATATTTTTGTGTTGACTTTCTAAAAATATCCTTGATGTGATATGTAAAAGTAAGATATACTCCGTAATATGTAAGTTATTAGTAAAATGTATGATGTAATAAGTAGGTTAGAATCGTCAAATGAGTTTTTAAATTGAAATAAAAATTACTTTGTGAGGCAAAGAAAAAAAGAATGGAAAAGAAGTTTTTGGGACATATTTAAGGAAAATAAAAAATAGAGTTGATTTTCCAAAATTGTCATTACTTTTTAGAAGAGGTGATGATGAATGAGAAGATAATTAAGGTGAAGAAGAGTGACTTATTTTAGGGATAGTTTAGGTATTTTATTTTTTAAAATTTACGAAAATAACTAACAGACAACTTATTTTGAGACGGAGAAAAAAGACAAACATGCAATTTAAAATAGGACGGAGGGAGAGAGTAATTAATAACGTTCCCATGCAATTTTTTCCTATTCCTTTCTATTTCTAATGTCCACAGAAAAAAGAGATCAGAATAAGTGCCGATAAAATATTCCCAGCAAACATTCAATAATTTAAGGCTTTGCGCGCGTCATGCTTGTACTCATATTCTCACATAGTCATGTCAGAATACACAGAATCATTGTTGAAATTTCAACGTTATTCAACAAGGCGCGCTCTTGGAAACATTGATCATATACGTACTCCCTACAATGATACTCCCTCCTTCAGGATATAATATCCCATAATTAAATTTCGTTGAATTTATTTTTAATTAAAAATATAAATTTCAACAATAAGACTTATATATTTGAAAATTTAATAAAAAAACTTCAAAAGACAAGAGATATCGTGACTAGCGCGCTATTTTATATTAAGAAATAAGCAATGAAAACAAATAAGGAAAGTACATAAAATTTGGCTACATATATGAATGGTGATCATGAGTAATTCATATAGTGAAATTTGCACTGAATAGGACTAAAACATAAGTCATTTCCTAATGTAGGATTTAAATTTTTTTATTTCTTAAATAAGACTTAGTAATGACTAGTGAAAAGAATAATGTCCAAGTGATGTTCGACATTTAGTTGAATAATGAATAATAGATAATGACCAATGGTCCTACATTGAGAAATAAAAACATATAGTCCTATATTGAGAAAGTCATTATGTTTTAGTCCTATATAGGTAAATTACCTATTCATATATCCATTCTCAAGATCCCATCCCATACACCTACACCAGATCAAAGCCCTCAGGCGAGACCAAGATGCTACATTACAAAAAAAAGTTTAGACCCAGCTTGCCAGGACCCGTATAACAAGCCTAACAATTGAAGTTCGAGCCGGACCCGCATGGATACCAATGGACTTTGGGTCAATCCGATCCTTAAAGCAACAAATTCTAAATAATTAAAAAATATTTTTTAGATAAAGTAATGCGTTAATATATTTTAGAAATACATAGTAGATGTTTGATACAATAACTATAATGATTATATGAAAGAATGACAATTGATATGATATTGTTACTAGTACAAAGTATTATTTATTTAAATATTATTATCAATGTGTGATACGGAGTAAATAAATTAGAGTGATTAAAACGTATTTATTTTATTAAATATACTTGTAATTCTCTTTTTTTCTGCAAAGAAGTATGTATGTGTGTTTATAATAAATTGAAATAGTATTGTTATTTTTATTATTATTAATATTAATGTTGTTATTATTATTTTATTTTAATTATATTATATATTCGAGCTGGGCCCATTTTTGGGCTCGAGCATAAAAACTGAGTCCAACACTAAAACATACGGGCACCATTTATAAAACCCGAGCCCGGCCGGTACCCTAAAATGTCGAACCTAAACCTGCTATTTTACGGATGGCCTAATGCAGGCGGGCCGGGTACCCGGTGTGATCGGGTCTACATACACACACACACACACACACATATAGATATATACATACATACATACATACATACATACATACATATATATATATATATATATATATATATATATATATATGTATGTATGTATGTATGTATGTATGTATGTATGTATGTATGTATGTATGTGTGTGTGTGTGTGTGTGTGTCTGTATGTGTGTGTGTCATTAGATTTAGAAAGATTTTTTAAAATCTCAATTGAATACCTTTAAATTTTAAATGTTTTTTTAAAATCTCAATTGAATACTCATTGACTTTTAAAATCCTAAAAAATACTGCAGAGTCTGGATTGAATATACCCCCTGAATCACACCTTTTTTGTTTTAAATTTGTTAAAACCTCCTCCGTTCTAAAAAGATTTTCTCATTTTGACTTTTAAAAAATTTAAGAGAGTGATGTTTTTGTGTTGACTTTCCAAAAATATCTTTGATGTGATGGATAAAAGTAGAATGTGATGTGTAAATTTTTAGTAAAAAGGTATGATGTCACTTGTAGGTTAAAAATATGTAGAGGTAAAAATAGTTTTCTAATTGTGGGGTAAACAAAAACAGAAAGGGAAAGGAGATTTTAGAACGAAGGGAGTATTTGTTTTTTTTTTGCACCAAAAAAACATTTTTTTATATATAAATTCTGGGAGCTCAATGCCTAAACTTGACAAGGGAATCGAGAGAGTATTTGAATTGGCATATGCGACCCTCTCAAACAAAGTAAGGCATATGTTGCCGTGCCACTTGCCATGTTCGAGAGTATTTTATTTTGTTCACTCAAACTAAGACGAGCGATTGGCTTTGTTCAACAAAGGAGGCAAATTGGAAGGAAAGAAACAGCCCAACTAGCTACTCAACTACTCATCTAGTCATCTCATCTATTTTGTAAATCACTTTGATCTCTTTTAATTAAATTTGATAAACTTTGATGATTAATTAAATAAGAGTTACTCTTTATATCCCATATTTTTCTTCCAACTCTTTGACTATTAATTAATATCGTAATTTTTATATAAATATAGACTATAAAAAATAAAAATTTATTGATATTAAATTTACGAGAGTTTTTATGGTGCACCTTGGGTGCATATCATTTTTGTGCAATTTCTCACATAATTTTTTTTTATTAAAAAATTAGATGCTTGTTTAAGTAGTAAGAAAATGTTTATTTTTGCTCAAATGTAGGTCCATTGTGAACCTTAGGTCCACCATAGAATTTGCCTAAATTTATACTCCCTCTAATCCGTTCCTAATTCATTTTCCTTCTTTGACTTCCACACACACTCTGTTCGTTCCTAAAAGAATTACGTTCTTTTCATTTTTTTTTTGTCCAAAAAAAACTACATCATTCCATTTTTGGAATGTTTTCCATAAGAAAATTACCATCCTATCCTTCTTTTCATCCCACATCCCATCATTATCCCCGAGCCCAGAGCGTAGACACCTAACCCTACTTTCTCTTTCTTCTTCACTGTTCGCCTCCCTCTTCTTCTCTTCTCTCTTCCATTAATCTCATTTCAATCTATTGTTTCTCCCTATCCCATCTCCTTCTGTACTCCGTCTTCATATGTCTAACCG